GAAGAGATTGTTCTGTCCATTATCTGATTAAGAGAACTGAGGGGTTCTCTTCCACGGTTGGAATGACCTGTCTTGGCCCAAATAGAGTTCAGTTTGTGACAGAGTTCCTGTCCTCTCGCCAGGCCTGTCCGAGGCCTGCTTCGAGGCAGTAAATCTTGTTTCTTCACTCGAGGTGACCCCTACAATTGTAAATAGTAAATTAGTAAAATTTATCTAAGGAAGACTGCAGAATGCATCAAATCTTCACTTTGTCTCAATCTTCCCTCCTGACAAAGCTACTCTATGACAGTTTCCTTGAATCAGTTGGACTCCAAAAGTTGTAGGTGTACAATTACTTCTTCTGTGTTTTATTAATATTCTACCATTTGTTCATGAGATACTTTGCTAACAGACAGTCGATCCTTTMAGATAATGCCAAAGTTTTAGGCAAAGATCTTTTATATTATGCAGCGCTCAGCGTAACTGTTGCAGATGATGCTAAATTATTTCCAAACCAACCTTTAGCTCATTAACTGTCTGAATTATTACAATTTAGTTTTTTTATGTCAGTTTGCTGGGGTGTGACACACACACCTGTTGCACGGGCAAAAACATTCTCATCAATTGTCTTCAGCTCATATTTTGTTAAGACAAACAGGGTTGACTTCGACAGATGATGCCAAAAGTTGTGCAGTGGTGATGTTTCCTTTTCATCAGAGCGCCATCTGGTGGACAAATTCAAACATCTGCACATAATAGAGGTTTCTAAAAACCAGAGAAGTCAAATGTTTTTACATTTATTTCTCAAGTAAAAGTATATATAGGGCTTAAAAAGATTTATGTAGAAGTTAAAGTATTAACTGAAGCTTTTTATTAAAGTAAAAGTAAAAAAGTATTTATTTTCAAACTACTTAAAAATATATAATTGAAATTAATGCAAAGGGGGGGAAAAGTCATCAAGGATAAAAGCTTAGGTTGCTTAGGCAGATGGTTCTTTTTTTCATGTGAACAGTTTTGATTGTCCTTGTTAACCTCCATCATTTAGTCGCAGTGCTTATAAGGTTGAGTTTACCTGAAACTCCTCAGACTGAAGTCTCTTGGAGAAGAGATGAAACATTTTCTACAAAGAACTCATCCAGAGGACCTACTCAACTTGTTTTGATTCTTACATTTAGCTTTGTGCGACGTGTTGTAGTGGCGACATATTAAAATCCTTCATGGCAGACAGCRTRTCCAAGCTAAACACAGGTTTTCCTTGAAATCCTGTGAACAGATAGTCTACCTCCCATTTCACAAACATTCTGTGTCCAGTTTCTTTTTCTTTCTTTCCATGTTCGTAGCCATGGCTTGAAGGCTCTTTCTTAATGTTAGAGCAGACATGTGAGTCAGGTGGTGTTTTTGTGTTAGAGGCCCTCTAGTGGCAAACTTTGTCTTTACAGCCAAATCTGTACCACTGAAAAATTAATTTAACAATTAAAATTAGAGCTGCTTTGAGTGACGTTTATTTACTAAACTCTGTGTTTTTATGTGTATTGCCTCAAGTTTCTATTTTAAAGAGGAACATGTGCAAAATCCACTTTTTTAACCATCAAGTACATTTTGTTGTGTACTTGGGTGTCTGTAGAAGAGCAGAAAAGTTGACATTAGTAACTGTTATGGCAATATTTATATAAGAAAGACAGAAATATGTGGTCCAAGAATGAAGGTACTCCGTGAGA